TGGTCTTCTACCAAGTTTACATTTGAGAATCACATAGTTAAGTTACAAAAGGAAATCTAATATTTTAACTAAGTTTAAAGCTTTGTGAAGGGAGTGGGTTACACTTATCTGCTGGAGTTTCCAGAATAAAACAGCAAGTTCACTTCAGGAGTACCCATGTGTCTTAAGATTCCCCTCCATGTCTGAGTAGAACCAGGGTTGTAATTTCCTTTTCTGGTGAATGCCTATGGTAATTTTCAGTTTTAGAGTGGATACCAATCTTTCATATTTCTCTTGGGTCCCATGGCCTGAAATTGCTTATGATTTGATTTTGGAATATATAGTAAGATTTATTCTTCACATTTCTGAACCTTAGCCTCCATGATAATTATAGATTTAAAAAATGACACTAGTCTAATATGCAGTACGGAAAGTGGCTCAATTTATTTTTAACTATTACAAAATCTTTATTGAGAATTTCATACATGTATATAATGTGTTTTGATCAAATCCATGCCCACTCCCTCCCTCCAACATCCCCCCCTCTGAAGAGGTAACCCTAAAATCATTTAAGGATTAGATACAAGCTCCCAAATACTTTTGACACTTTTGGCCTTTGGAAAACAGTATGTTGCTAACAGGCTCAAGGACATTTTGACTTTTAGCCAAGAAACTGGCTACTTTTCTTGGGGGTCTTTTTACCCTAACTGCCTAGCCTATTCCTACCTCCTATTCTTATCACGCCATCCTCTGAAGGGGTTACCCAAATTGCCAATAGGGAATCGGGACGCAGACTGCTCTGACTTCTTCCATGCTGAACAGGGACACAGTGAGGCAATTGGAGTACCCCCTCAGTGGGTCAATTTAAAAGACTATCAAATTACATAACTCTTATCTCTAAGAGGAGAAGAAAGTCCTTTCATGAATGGGAGATGTGAAGGAGAAGCAAAGGCAAGAGTAATTAGCATTACAAGTTCTAAACAGGGAACTAGAAAAAGTCAGAACAGGGAAATGTTCAAATGTTCATATGAGAGTCCATTGGAGTTTCTTGACAAGGGCTTCCAAAAGCATCCCTCTATTGGGTTCTTCCTCACTTTTCTTTTATCTTCCAAGGCTCGACTAGTTGGCTGGGAAGAGTGGATGTATACTCAGGTGAAGGTCCAATGACCCAGCTTGGCACTCCTTTAATGAATGAGCATAACTGTCAACAAGCCCAATTGTGACTATGTTTAGCGGTCAGGCTCAGTGGAAGTTGTGATGATGGTAGATATTTCATGCAGAGGGACTGCTGTATAGAATCATCTTATTAAAAGGACCTGGAATTTTAAAGGATTTGGTGCTAGGAGTGGCTCAATTTTTGACCAATAAATGTGAGATCTGTATTACTCGTGTGATCTAAGAACTCACCTTTGGGGTACACCCTGAATACTACAGATAAGAACCTCTCTGTGATTTAGGTTAGTAGAAGAGCATACATGAGTTTTCAGAGTGGACTTTTCAAGTCTTGTCTATGAAAAGATACTGCCTAAACAACTATTAACAAAGAGATGCTTTTAGAAAAATTAAGCCATTTCCATGTTTTTGGCTGTCAAATAGTGAAAGAGGTCTAATTTTCTCGGGGAAGGAGTTGAGGAAATGAATGCTTGCATTAAAAATTTTAAGGAATTTACAATTACTGTCATTGAGAGCATTTTTGTTGTTTTTTGTGAGTTTTATTGGGGGGGCAGTGCCAATGATCAAAGTCTAGTATTTGGTCATGCTAGACAAGTGTTCAAGCCTGGCTGAAGCCCCAGTCCTGTCCCTAAGTTCTAAATGGCTGTATTCCATGTCTGTGACATGAACATTCACAGTGACACAGCGATGTATATCTCCATAATCAGTTAATAAATTCCTAAGGCTAATAAAGGGCTTTTATTCTTGTTAAAAGGACAGTAGAAGCTGGAGAGATGGCTCAGTGGTTAAGAGCACTGGTTGTTCTTGCAGAAGACCCAGGTTCAAGTCCCAGCACCCACATGGCAGCTAATGACTGTCTGTAACTCCAGTGCCAGGGGATCCGACAGCCTCTTTTGACCTCCGGGGGCATTGCATGACATGGGTATACTGACCTACATGCAGGCAATACATGCATACACATAAAATAAAAATAATAAATTAAAAAATTATTTTAAAAAAAGGACAGTAGAACATTTGATAGTTTTTTAGTATATAAGGGTCTATAGTGCAATTTCATTGAATTGTGGGAGGTCTATTATTATAGGCCTTGTTTTTTTCAGAAACAGTCAAAAAGACATAAGGTGATCTTCAGCTCTTTGGGATTCAGTGGACATATTTAAAAAATTGAAAACAAACTTTTTAAATTTCCTTAAATGGAAAAACAAATTTATGCTATGGCTAGAAAGATGGCACAGAGGCTAAGAGTTCTCTTGTAGAGGAACTGACTTGGATTCCCAGAACCAACACCAGGCAGCACACAACACTTGTGACTCCAGGGGACCTTATGCCTCTGGCCTCCGCAGGCACCTGAACTCACAGGCATAAACTCACAGACAAATAGACACATACCCACATAATTAAAAATAAAAATAACTGTAGAAAACACTATTTGCTTTCACAGACATTAAACATCCCCTGGTTCAAATCATAGCTTTACGGCTAGCCATCTTAATGTTTAATAGAGCAGAAGCATAATAAAATATTAAGTGCTAATACAAAACACTTGTCCTGGAAGTGTGGCCAGAAATCTTATAACAAGTACTAGGTTATTTCAAAATGCAAAGAGATTGAGAAAATAAATTTTCCTTCTATGAAAACAAAAGTGCTTTTGAGATGAGAATTGCCATCCAGAAGCTTTACAGAGTCATTGTATAATTCAAACAACATGATGGGTTATACAAGTTTTGAGCATAAGAAAATTCCAGGTTATTGTAGAAAATTTGACTTACAGTCCTTGTATTTCTCCTCCCTAATTCTATATCCATGTAAAAGGTTTGGGGTCCCTAGCTATTTGAATATATTTATAAAAGCCAGAAAATCATGAGAGCTTTCTACCCTAGAGGCCAATATACATTGGGAATTCCAGCATATGAGAATGGATAAAATATGGTTACGGTATAAAAATTTCAAGTCCTGATATTTTCATTTTTAGTTTAGATTTATAGGAATTTCTCTCATTATTTATGTCAGTAGGTTTCTTTATGAGGAAGAAATAAAATAGATTCTTTCATTTAAAATTTAAAGTGTTTTTTAGAATGTAGCACTTTGTTTCCTAAAATAATGATCAGCAATATTTCTCTTTTGAAACACTTTTAGGATTATTCATCAAATATCAACACACACACACACACACACACACACACACACACACACACACACAAACAGCACCTTGTAGAAAAACTGTTGTTTTAAATATTAATGTAGTTTTACTTTGTTTTGTTTATTATTTAGCTGAACAGATGATAATGGTTTTGGCACAATTCAATTTCCTTTTCCTCCTCCTCCCCCAGGGGGGAAAAAACCCCCGCAATAAAGCAGAGTTTCTTTCTCTATTTTGTAACAGCTGGTCACCAAGCAATCTGAATTCATGGTATAGAGATGATCACACATTTTGTCCAGGGGCCAAATCTGATTTGGTTGCATTTTTCTGCAGTATTACATATCGGAAGAAATAAGGTATATCTACATTGGGGACTGATAGCCCAGGATAGCACAACTGTCATTAATCAAACCTGGCATGAATGGCTGCCTTTGTAAAAGCCTGAATTGGGCTGATTTCACAATGAAAACCATCCCACTACTAGTAAAGTAGGCAATACCTTCTACATACTAATCATATATAAAATTTTTACTATGTTACTGAGTAGCTGTTTTGTGTCAAAGAATGCCCTAGGCATTTACAATTTATTCTGGATGAATTAAAGAAAGTCAAGACAAATTTAAGTATGTCTGATAAGAGAATTGTAATGAAGTATATATAGATTAGTAAAAATGTATATGATGAAATATATACATTGAAATGTATATAATGTATACAATGAAGTACATGTATAATAAAGTATATATAGGTCAGTAAAAATGTGAAGTTCCTACAGTTAACATTGATTATAGAAATTTAGTGATAAAAATATTGATAGAGTTTGTTTTGAGAGATTCTGAAACCCTACACAACCTCATCAACACATTAATTGGTACTTAAAAGATGCATATGCACACAGAACAGCAAACATCAAAAGAAAGGCAGACTGCTCTATATTATTTGAATTGTTAATTTTGGTGCTTGAAAAAGCCATTTCCCTTCTTTATCCATTTAATTCATGTTCATTTCGTCAGTTTCCTAAAACACAAGACAAATATTTTCTCCTTTAATATGTTTTCGATTTCTTGTGGTCAGATTACTTGAGATATCATCATTGAACTCAGTGTGACTTATAAAATAATAAAACAAAAGTCACCAAAATTGGAAATGTGTAATGGTTCCTTATTAGTGGAGCATTACCAAAGACAGGTCAAATTGGAAAGCCTGTGCTTGGTAGATTTTATTTATTTATTTTTGTTCTTGTGAATATTGTATATGAGTATAGTCTGCATTATTTCCATCCCTCCCAGTCCTCCTCCAACTACTCCCATGTCTCCCCCACTCCTTCTCAATCTGTCATCCTCTTCTTTGATTGTTATTATTATATATACATACATACATGCATACATATATTTATAAATACACTATATGCAATACACTGAGTCCTGAACACAGGGAACACAGGAGCAGCACTAAGCATCTTTATAGTTTTAAAGTAGAAAGTTCTGTACACATATAGAAAGCATGGATTGCTGCTAAGCAATTAATGATCAGTTATAAAATGAAAACACTTATTAGAAATAACTGTGTTCTAAATAAATATAATTTTGTGACCAAATATTGAATGTTTTTGTAAAATGTATATAAAAAGAACATGAAGCTTATTCTTTATGTATTATTATGTATATGACCAATGCTATTTAATAAAGCCAGCTCCCATTCTACATAGGTATGACATCAAAGATGATTATACCCTGAGAATTAAAAAGGCCGTGAGTACAGATGAAGGTACATATATGTGTATTGCTGAGAACCGAGTGGGAAAAGTTGAAGCCTCCGCTACCCTCACTGTTCGAGGTAAGAGACTTATAACTCAGATTGCTTTGAACCAGGTCAGTAATATCTTGTTAATTTGGTGAGTTCACTCACCAAAATAATAGGAGCTGTTAGGCATGGTGGAATTCTAACACTCAAGAGGCAGGGACAGAAGGATCATAAATTTGAGGTCAGCCTGGGCTACACAGCAAGAGACTATTTCAGAATAAAAGAGTAGATTACTCTATTTTATTATTATAATAAATGCCTAGGTTTTATGCCTTTATTTGAAATAAAATGATTGTTTAAATGGAATATTTACAATACATTAAACAGTAGCATGTATGCATTGAATTAAATAGTTTATAAGGTTGAAAGTTAATCTCTTTTTATTATTTTTACTTTATGTGTATAACTGTATTACCTGCATCATATGTAACTGCACATGAGTTGTGCAATGGCCACAGAGGTTAGAAGAGGAAGTCAGATTCCCCTGAAACTGGTGTTACAGAAGGTTGTTGGCCACCATGAGGGTGCTGAGAACCAAACTCAGTCCTCTGCAAGAGCAGCCAGTGCTCTTAACTGCCAAGTCGTCTCTCCAGTACAGAAAAGTTAATCCTATAAATAGGAAAGATGTATACTAAGAGCCTTTGTTTCTATTGCTTTTTAACAACTTACTGCTTTTAAATACTAGCAGTTTCTAAGGCATTCTAATGTTCTCTGTTCACCAGTTTGGCACTTTATACTGGGAGAGTGCTCTTTAAAATTATTTGTTTTTGTTTGCATATTTCAGCATTCAGAAAAAACAATGTGAAGAAAAATATAAATTAAAAAAACAAACAAACAAAAATAGCCATGATTCAGAAGGTGATAAGCAGACACCGCACTCTGATAGTCTAATTAAGGGAGCTATTTCTGAAGTTCATTGGCCTTAAAGTAGTGAGGAATGTTCCTTAACAACTTGCAATTTTCTGGGTGTTATGTACTTTCCAGTCAGGAGATAATGTTGGTTTCTCAGTGGAATTGTTTATAAGTGAAAGAAAGCACTACTAAACCCCACAGTGCTCTAGAATGAATTAACTATATTCCTAGTGGAACATTGCCTTCACAGGAGCTTGCATTATGTATTCCAATGTTAAAAGAACTGTCATTAAGACATGGAGCACTTCTACATTCTTAGTAGACGTTGCCAAGCCATTGTTTTCACTCACCAAGATAAACCAGTGCATCTCCTGCTCAGTTTTCACCCCTCCACCCACCACTGACTGCCTCCTCTCATCCTCCCAAGAAAGGAGATTGGCTGCGAGTCTTCATCCAATTCAGTTGCATCTCCTTCTTGTCATACCTTGTACCCAGGTACAGCTTTGCTAACAGAAGATTTTTATGAACAAGGAAAAGCCTTTCGAGGAGTTTGAGTTTGCATGAAATAGGACAGGAATTCTCAGGTGGCTCCTCCATCTTATAAGACATGACTTCACAAAATTTGTTTGTCTCCAGATAACTAACAAGAAGCAAGCATCCGTATACTGGGGGATAAAGATGCTGCCTCTACTTTTCAATTCTCCTGTTCCTATTCCACCTAAGCCATCATTTTTTTCTCTTCTAGTTATTGTAGTGTGAACAGAGATCAAAGCATATTTATGCAAATTTGGTGTTAGTTGCTTATCTACATTTTCACTCTTCATTAGTTAAGTCATAAAGGGCCCTGCCTGTTTTTGAACCAAATATACCTAGTGATTTCTTCTGAATGAAATCTAGTGACTTATGAAACTCTGCACTCTAAACTGCATGTCCTGTGCATTATTTTAAATGTTTGTTTTTTAACTAGGTAGGCTACTGGGAAAACAATTCATTTGACCAAATCATCTCCAAAGTGTGTGTGTGTGTGTGTGTGTGTGTGTGTGTGTGTGTTTGAAAGGAATAAGGTAAAACTAAACAGCCAACCAAAAAACATTCTATTCAAAAAAATATTTGCTGATTAAACAAATGTTAAGAACATGTGAGGAGTTGTTAATAAAGGGAACAGTATCCCTTGTAAGCTTGAGTATTTAGACTAAAGAAGTGGTCTGTTTGCCTTTAAGATCTTTCTCAGGCTAATTTAATAATTTATTGAAAATTTCAGGTTTAGTGTTTAATTTAATAAAGCAAGCTCCTCATGCATGTATGTTTGAAGCTAACTTACAAAACAAATATAGAACATTTTTTTAAAAGGGATTTAAAACATATTAGCAAATTCTGAATGGTTTCTTCTTGGACTTAGGTAAAAATGTGGTATAAATTTAATTTTTTCTCTGTGGTATAAATTTATCACTCATCTAGGACTGAAACCTCACAATCAAGGTTAAATAAGAAGAACAACAATAATAGTATATCTCCATAGCACAAAATAATGTGCAGAAAAATATTTAAAAACATGGCTTAACATTAGGTTAGATTTTCTCATGCCAAGTGGTTAATGTGGATAAAATTATGACTTTTTTTTCTGTGTTCCTTCCTCTAGGCATATAAATAAAATGTTCACTGTTTCACTGAATTGTTTTATTAGAATGGGGTCAAGTACCCCATGAGGCTGTGCCCATTTTTGTCCATTTAATGAAGGAACACGAGTTTAATTCACTGATTTGAAAACATCCACCTGCTGACTTTCGCAATGAAATGCTGCTATGTAAAAAGGACATGCAGTTTTATTACGATGTCTCTACTGAAATTGTACCATGATATTCATGTTAGCCAATAAAGGATACTTTAATAGAAATTAATAATCTACATTTGAAACCGAGCTCTTTTCATATTTCTTTCTCCATTTCAAAATTATGGTTAAAAAATAGACTGTAAGATGATGCTTACTATCAAGTGCATCTTCTAGTGGGCTTGGCAAACATAAACTTAGAAAGAAACCAGTTTAGTAAATAAGAAAATGTATCCCCCCATGAGTAAATAAAAGTACTCATTACCTTTAAAAACAAATGTTGAAAATTATTTAAAAATGCAAGCTGAATGTATGTAGACAGTTTTCCTTCCCTTGTTGTTACTTCATGGATTCACATAAAAAGTATTTAATTGGAAAAGCGGTCTTTAGAGACAACAAACCGTCTTGTTCTGCAATTTTCTGTGAAAGAGAAACACATTTTATTTATTTCAACATGATTTCCCACCACAGTTTCTTCTTTTTCTTTCACATCATAACTTTAAGATATGTAACATTTCCTAGAGAATTATGTTTGTAATCCAGCTTGAAATGGCAACTAAATTAGCAAACATGTCAAAATCGAAAGTTTTTTTTTTCTCCTAGTGAATACTGAACCAATAAGAGAAATTTTTGAGTGGGGATACAGCACAGTTTGCAATCTTAATCTTATCTGCATTTTACTTGGCTATGGCTCTTGGATTCTTCTATCCATCCCCTTACATAAAAGAAAAAAATCATGACACATTGGTAGTTTCTTATTTCCTTTGCTATAACAAGATTCCCGTAAAAACATATATGCCATCAACCCAGAATTCTCATACTACCACTACAGTCACCTCATTTCCCTTGAATGCTGGGAAATAAAAGACAGTGGAGATTACACAAATGCAGTATTATGATGCATGTGTTGAATGAATGCACACATACTCACATGCTCTGAATGTTTTTATCTATCTTTTTATGCCCAAAAGGCTGACATCAAGGACACCTATTCTTATCTTGCTCTAGAAACCCATTATTATGTTCTAGGGCTATATCTATAGGATATGGGTGAAATACCTATTGGATTAAAAAAAAAGGCTTGTATTTTAATTATAAAATTTCCTAAAGTTCAACTGCTTTTAATTATATATCTTCTTATATAGAGATGGAGCATCTGCTTTTTAAATCTTGTTTACTGCTTCTATATGAAATTGTTGACCAACTAAACTGATTTAACATTATTTTTTAAAGAAAATATTAAGCTCATATGTCTCTCTTAATATTTCAGTTTTTAAGAGAAAGGGCAGGACATTACTATGAATTTTAGTAATTGAAAGTTATGGCATCATTTAAAAAATATCAATTTGCTGAAGTGGGAGTTTGAAAACCATTGTCACTGTGAACAAGAACCAGCTGTCACTCATTGCTTCTACCTATAGAAGGAAAAAGCATAGCAGTGGTTAGGGAGCTACTGAGCTGAAATCCCCAAGCATGTCCCCATCTATTGTTTAGTCCCCATCTACTCTTTCTGTGGATGGAAAGTGATGTGATCTTAACTTAGCAGTGTCAGGGGATTTTCTACTGTCCTTGTAATGGTTCTGGCTAACCATGCTTACAGTCTAATTGCTATTTAAATCAGGCAATGAGACCAGTTTTTCAGACCTGACGTTTGCTAGATTGTGACATAAATAATAGTTCAGCATGATCTTGACTCTGGGGTAGTGTTAGTCTTTTTAACTCAAGGTCTTTGAAATAATAACTGAGTGTTGATGGTAAGACTCGAAATGCTTAGAGTTCGTCTTGAGCTTCAAAATAACTTTTTTCTTAGAATTATATTGATAACTTTCAGCTTTATCCAACTCAGACATTCTGTTCATAATTGAATTATGAGACTAGAAATCACTCTTATGTCCATACTTAAAGTAACATTACACATCATGCATTCTGATAATTTTCTTTTCTTTCTTTTTTTAAATTTCTTTTTTATGTTCTCACCACACCATTGTAATGTCTACAGTTCGCCCTGTTGGTAAGTAACCATCCTTCTACCCATTTAGCATGGCTTTGCATAATGTTTCATAATCCATGCATAGTAGCATTTGACTGAACTGTGTATTTTCCCACCCATGTTAAAATGTTTCTTGAGAATTATCTACCATAACAGTGGCTCCTAGCTTTTCCACTTCTTGATAAATCTTTTTTTATAATCACTTTCTCAACATAGCAATAAATTAGTGTCAACTTTCAGGTAAAATAAAACATGATTAAGGTAATAAGACTATTGACTTTTCCCAAAGAGAAAGATATGCTTCCTTTTTTTCCTGTATAGGTATAAAATAATAGGCTATGTTTGATATTAGTTAAGGTAAAA